AGGTGCAGTTAGTACTTTGTTGATATAACTATGTCAACCATTAAGTAATACCATTATTCTCAGACCCAAGATGTGTCCAATTAAATTGGTGTTACCAGGAAAAAAACACACTCAATTATGAAAGTTGTGGGAGCATGACAAGGAGATATTATAGAAAGTTGTAGAGCAATAATATTGTTAAATTTAAGGGAAAGTGATGATGAGTAAAAATACACAGATAGCTAAGGATTTCCATTTCAAGTAAACAGAGAAACCACCTGCCATACATTTGACCAGTGGATTTTCAATGCCCGTTGAGACAGAATCAAATTGTGAAGTGTTATCATATCTCTACTTATTAGTAGTGAGAAAATATTGTCTTTTATCACTGGATTTTTTGTACATAAATAGCAATTAGAGACAACAACTTGGCAGAAAAAGCACTTGTTTTTATGGATTGTATAGCCACTATTCTAAGTTTTACTATTATTTGGTAATTTTAGTGATAAAAAGTAAACAAAGGAATAAAAAATTCCCAAATTGATTAAAGAAACTAGTTAGTTTTTTGAAAGATTCAGACTGAGAAAGTGGTGTAAGATGCTCCTTAATTCCATCCTGATAGGTTTTCTAAAGTTATTGGTCTTCTGTTCCCTGTCTGGTTTGTGTGAATGAGACAAAGTTAATCTACAAATGTTTTCAATATTCTGAGTTCACAGCAAATCATCATTGGTTTTGCTTCTTCTATTTTCCAACTCTAAATTTGGTTTTGCCACATATTTATGAAAAATAAAGTATAAATGTTTTATCTTAATGTGAATCTTTCTTTATATCAACTCATACAGAAGTGAACACTTTCAATCCATAGTAATCAGCAGGGGTACTTATAGGGCTTTTATATCCATGCATCCTTTACATTACATGAGCATTGTCCCGAAGTCTTTCTGTAATTCCTATATTGCTTATCATACTTGACTACTGTCACTCCTGCTAATGTCCATCATGACTTTACTTTCCTAGCTATTAATCTGTATGTTTTCAGGTTACTATGTTGCCCTACTTCAGTCACATTGGTCCTGTGCCCTGCAGGCCACATGCATGCCAGGGTAGCAGCAATTTCAACCTGACTTTATATATCATAATGCCATGTTGCAATGTCAAAACACACACCCTTGAGTTATAAGTGGTATGTCAAAATGTTCATAAACATGTTTATTCTTGTGTCCAAGTACACTTTGTGGTTCTACTTAAGAAACAGTTTGAAAACTGAGTCTGTGAGGTTTGCTTTCAGAAGACACAGGAAGTACTGAGGTAAGCTCTTTGTGGTAACACTGAAATTCTTGAACACTCTCTGCTTAAATTCTTTCTCTTACGATCAAATATATGATCAAGTTTTGCCTCTTCTTTTCCATAAAAATTGACCCATCTTCTATTTTTAAGTACCTCCTATTCACAGTTTCTGGTGGAATGGAATATTGGCTAAACACCACATGCAACTGAGAACTGCTATGGGAAGAAATGTCATCATCAACTTTTGTCCCACACTGGCATATACTTGAAGCTATTGATGGGCATGAGGCTTGTGCCATGAACTCTACCCTTGCTGAAGTGTATCTGTTTGTTCAGATAGGTAGCCTTCATGGAAGCAGTTCATGGAAATCCTAGCACATGTTAGGATTCTCAAATAATTTCAGAGCTCATTTTGTTTACTAACACACCATAGAAGCATCTTCCATATTATTAGTATATTTTCATTTCCTCTGTAGCTGGTTTTTTTCCTTACGTGTTAAGTCAAATAAACCTATCAGCATTCTTTTTAATGATACTTTGTTTTCAACTTTTTAAATATTTGCTGACAATCTGAATTGCCTTGGTGTATCCTTCAAGTTACTATCCACACTTATGCATATTCTACTTATCTTTTAAATTGAGATAAACTTGACACCTTTAGAAGTGTATGTTCATTTGCCTGATTGAAGGATTATAATCTTTACATTACTTGAACACATTTTTTTCCTACCAAATCATACTTTACTCTACTGCCATTGATGTTTACTGCTGTGGATATCATTCTGTATAAATAAAATACTGATTGGCCAGTGGCCAGGCAGGAAGTATAGGCAGGACAAGGAGAGAGGAGAATTCTGGGAAGTGGAAGGCTGAGTGGAGGAGTCACTGCCAGCCGCTGCCAGGACAAGCAGCATGTGAAGATGCCAGTAAGCCACGAGCCACATGGCAAGGTATAGATTTATGGAAATGGGTTAATTTAAGCTATAAGAACAGTTAGCAAGAAGCCTGTCACGGCCATACAGTTTGCAAGCAATATAAGTCGCTGTGTTTATTTGGTTGGGTCTGAGCAGCTGTGGGACTGGCGGGTGAGAGAGATTTGTCCTGACCATGGGCCAGGCAGGAAAACTCTAGCTACAAATGGCGCCCAACAAGTTGGCAAGAGTTTCCACCTAAAACCTGAGAAAAGATTCTAAAACAGAGCTAAAAACAGCTTCCTAATTGTCTCTCTCAAATGAGCAGCAGCTGACATTTGAGCTACTTGTGAGTTCCTGGCGTGCGTGCTTGACCTGCAGTATGGCAGGAATGAGGCCTCTGCAAGAGGCACATTAAGCTGCATGGTGAATTTAGCCTTTGCTAGTACAAAGCAAAAAAGGAGGTTTCTGGGCTACACACTGTTTGGATGAAAGCATAGACCCACCACAGCTCTCAGAGCTAGCGGTAAATGCACCACTGCCATGTTGGGAAGCTGCGGTGGGCAGAGCCAGCAGCCACAGCACAATTTCAGTCTTACAAATGCTGCAGTTTAAAGCAATAGATTCACAATAAGACAGATTCAGATGTAATAGTTTACAATGTGTGTAAAATATACGTAGGCTTGAAAGAGACAAAAAAGGTGATATATACAGTTATGTAAACAAATACATAGTTTCAAAAAATAAAGTCTTTAAAGAGACAATAAAATTAACATAAAAAATAAGCCACGTAAGATGAATATTACACAGAGAATCTGGATGTGGAGAAGAACGGGATGCTGAGATGAAGCCATATATACACAGCCAAGAAGAATGTACAGCTGAATTAAAAAACCATCAACAATTTCTAGAATTTAAAATCCTAAATCATGACATGACACTAGTGGAATTCAGGTGTTTCTGGTACATGGACTGCTCTCACCCAATGTGAGGTTGAACTGTTGACCTTGTGTACATCCTACTTCACAAATGAGTCTCTCAGATATGCTAAGCCTATAGGCTGAAGATGATGCCCCAGCACTGTGGGGAAACCTCAGGTGACTGTCCAGGCAGCTGGCTGTTTCTGTCAACTCACAAAATTTTGGAAGTTGCTTGAATGCACTTCCTGTTTTTATTTTTGTTAGCTAATATTATTTCCTTCTTGGGTCTCTGAGGGAGTTAAAGATTAGTTAGTTATAGTTGAAGGTTAGTTAGTTATAGTTAAAGATTAATTTAGGATAGAAAATAAATTAAATACATTTTGGACTTACCAAAATAGGATAAATAATAAATTATTTTCTCTGAATTTGTCAAATACAAATGGACTAGACATTGTTTAGGTATTTATTACTTGTATATATTGCATATAGTTATTGTACTTTTGTATATAGTTTTTCTTATGTTAGTTATAACCTTTTTCCTTTTTTCTTTTTATTAAAATAGAAAAGGGGAAATATGGTGATATTTTATTTGTACTGAAATGTGATTTTATTTGTATGTTAATAAATAAAGTTACCCGGGGGTCAGAGCTAATAGCAAGCCATAGCAGAGCTGGGTGTTTGTGGCGCATGCCTTTAATCCTAGCACTTGGTAGAAGAGCTAGGTAGATCTCTGTGTGGTCAAGGATACAGCCAGCATTGGAGACACATGCCTTTAATCTCAATACAATAGAAGACATGGAGGGCTGTACATATAGGCAGTGATGAGGCAGTCATGTGTTTGGGTTTACAACCAATGAGAAGGCAGAACAGAAAGACCATATAAAGACAAACACACAGGAAGTAGGTCCCTTTTTGGAGAGTTCTCTTGGCTTAAGAGGCTAACTGCAGCAGGCAGTAAGGCTCTTAGCTCTGATCTCTAGGCTTTCTTCTTTGCATTGGTAAGACGGTTGGTTATATCTACAGTCTTTCCCTGAAGTGCACATCAACTAGTTGTCCAGAGCCATATGATCAACCTTGAAAACATACAAATAACATTATATGATCTAGGCATTTTTTTTAATTTAGAAAGAACATCTATTTCTCTATGAATTTAGATTGCCACTGAATGTTCAGAGGATTGACAACTAATACCTCAGCACAGGATCTTTAACACCCAAAGAATATTAAGATGTCATTCTATAGACATCCTTTTGGACACCTGTCAAAGTTGAGTTCAGTTATTCTTATGAATACAGAAAGAAAAATTTTAGAACAAGTAAAAGAAACACTTGAATCCATCCATATTTTAAAAAAAACATAAAAAAAATAACAGAAGAGGAGCACCTGGAGGAACAACAAAAGAGAAAACATAAGGCATTGTCCCATATCCTTTAAAAAGTGAAGTTTGTGTGTAAAATTGATTCTACTTCTGCAGAGATCCAATCATTCTTCCTTTATCATATAATCCCCAACCTTCTTCCCCTTATCGACATCTGATCTACCTACATCCTCTCCCTAGTTGTTGGTAAATTTTTTTGTAGAAACATGTCTCAGGAGAAAGAAGAACAATGACATGATAATTTGAACAGGTGCATCATATCTGAGCCTGAGGTACAAGGCACACACAAATGATCTAATAGGTAGGAAAGGAAACAGCTCCATTGGATAACCCAAATTTCCAGAATTGAGAAAATTTTCAGAGGTTGTAGAGAAAATGAAGCCACTGAAAGATCCGCAGTGATCTTACTGTAGGTGTTGAAAGGCTTGGTACTTAGTGCCAGATTCAATATTTAAAGATGATTATAGACGACTGCTTTCAGGTTAGTTGGTTCATGTCTCAAAGAAATGAAATTTCAAAAGATACCTTATGCTTTATGAAAAGTGATCAAACCAGCATTGAGCTGCCATCTCCAGACTTCCTGATTGACCCGCCTGAGTCATTCATCTTTGGGAGACGATTACCTAAGGAGGAATTAGTTAAAGCAAGTAAAGAAGTGCCCAAAATTCTCATTGTCCTTTTCAAAAATTTTGACCTTTTGAACTATTGCCAATAAAAAATAATGGAAAGAGAACCTAAAATTTTAAAGCTTTTTCCATTTCTAATAATCTAAAACAACTATTTATGCTCTACTTTATCTAACTGTAGCAACCAAAATTTAGTATGCCAAGGATATAACTTTTATATGATATAGTAGAGGACAATCAAATCTTACCCCTTATCATTTTTATTCATAAATTATATTGTCTTCTCAATCCTATCTCTATCTGCTTTGCGAAGACTTCAAATTTTAAACAAATAAACTTTAATTTAATTCCTTAATTTTTCCAAGGTTTAATTTTTTAGGTATAGGGAAGGGAAAAGATTTTAGTGGCTCTAATGAACTATGTGCAACATCAAAGTACTTTTTGGTGCGCTGAGAAGAGGCAATGGGATGTTCGAATGCATGGATTTTCTCCAAGGAGGTAGTTTATTCAGCAAACCTTAATTGATTTAAAATTGACTGACAGGGCAGAAGAGCTTCTGCCTGTGGAAACTCTCAGGTTAATTTTAGAGTTCCATTATTCATGTAATCTCTCAGAACCATCAGGCTGGCCTGTCATGATTTTTTGTTGACTTCACATATAAAATTCATGTTCTTGTTGCTGGTAAGGCACAGATGGGAATTTTTCTAATGCCCCATTGGCCCCTGTAATAGGCCTGATTAATCTGAGACTTAGTATGGTATATCTTATTTTCCACTTTTCAAAAGATAAATTAATTGAGCAAATGGCCTTTTCAGAATTCAGTGCTATTTTTAGTAATTCCATTCATATTTCAACACCAATTCTATTCAAATTTAAAGACCAGCATTTATAGGAAATTGTTAATATTATTTTCGATGGAATTTAATTATATCAGATTTCATTATGGAGGTAATTTACCTATTCCAGTTTCTTTTGAAAATGTACATGGTCAGCTTTGAATAAATATGCATATGTATTTTGCAAGTACTATGTGATTTCTGCCAATTTGCCATAAGCTATCATTAATTCTTCTATGCTTATCTTCCACATACTTTATTGTAGCCATATTGCATTATTATTACTATAAGCACTTAGAGATTCTATGCATTTGTTTCTATTCATATTAGGCCAGCTGGATAACTGTAGTGTTATCAAGGAGTGAGTTATGAGAGATACTGATACTCTGAGAAGACTCCTGAGTGTCCTATTGAGCTGACATTTTACACTGAATCAAATGTTGAGTTCACACATCCAGAAAAATAAATGTCTTCAAATGGTTTTTGAACCTTTGAAAAATGTAACAGGTAATTAGTTAAATTAACAGGATATGTGGGATTTTAATAACTCTTTGATATCACATTAGACTTAAAATGTAAACAGTGAAATTCATCATGGGTAAAAAATAACATTTGTTATTATGAACATATTGACTTTTGTCATAGGAAAAAAGTAGTACTGAAAATATTACTGTGATAATGAATATAAAATAAAAACAGAACAATCTAGAATGTCAATACACATTTTAAAAGTAAATATAAGAATATGCTGTTTTAAAATATGATAATTAATATGATTTTAATGAGGACAGTGTCAGAAAAAGTCATAAAACATGTGATAACAAGAAGTGTTGAAATTTGATTCCCTCTTTTACTTGTGATTTGATAAAAGAAATTAGCATTATTATATAATATGGCAGGCAAAAATATTTTTAATAAAGCCATCATTTATCTTGTTTTCTAAAACATCTTACTGGAGAAGTAGTACACACACACACACACACACACACACACACACACACATATATATATGTATATATATATATATATATATATATGTATATATATATATGTACATATATCATCAAGATATAAAAAATTCTAACATGTAAGGCAACAAAACCAATGCAATTAAAATCTATATACTTTCATTTCTAGTGTTCTTTGTCTGGAGAGCTGAAATACAGAAAGTTATTAGCAATATTTTATAGTGGTTTCATGGTGTGAATAAAGAGTCTTTCAAAATGTATTTATTAAGCTTTTTGAAAGGCTTTTTCAAAATGGGGTTTCCCTCTTTTAAATGTGTGACTCTTTAAAGCATGAGTAAATAACACTTAAAAAGATAAATATTTAAATATGCACATTCCAATTTGAAACCAAAAAGTATATATCCTCCATTTATTAGTAAATTAGTCTGATAACTAATAAATCTTGAAATCTAATGATATTATGTAATAAAATATTCTACACTCCTGATACATAATGGAAACACTAAGAAATTAGTGATGCAGACATATACATTCTTATAGCAGTTTCTTGTTATTAAAGATATATTACACTGGGTCAATGAGCTTGAGTCTAGAAAAGGAAAATAAATTCTATTCACTTAACATTGCAACGTTTATTAAAAAAGAAACTTTAGGTTCTATATGGATTACAGAGCTTGAAAAGACCCATAGAGCAAAGGTAAGTTACATTTAAAAGTTGTCCATCTGTCCATAGGTCCTTCTAGCTATACTACTGGAAGTGATCCAGCCTTTAGCTAGGGCTACACCTGAGAACTCTGTGCTCATACAGCAGAAGAAGAGAAGGTTCTGGCATGGTTTACAGATGGATATGCCCAAAATGTAAACACCTCATGAATTTGGGCAGCTATAACAACACTGCCTGCTTTCTGGATATATTACATTTGCTAAGGGATACTCTTCAAGCCGCAGAACTTTAATCTGTGAATATGGTTGTTTTCCTTGCTTGGAAATAGAACTGGTCCCACCTATGGCTATACACCTATTAATGCACTGTGATCAAAGTAAGGGACCTCAAAGAAACATGATTAGAAAATTAGTAATGAACAACTGGGTGCAATAGACATAAGGATAGTTTTTTTTTTTCACAAGGCACCAAAGAGTAGAGATATCTGTATTTTGGTATAAAAACTAACCATGGGGGACCTCAACAGAAGAGGACCTTAATATTTATGTGACTGGACTATTAGTGGACACTAATTAGCTTCTTTCTCTGACCACCCCATCACCATTGAGTGAGCACTTAAAGTACAATGATTCATGGGTGTAGGTATGGATGTTCTCAAGAACATGGTACTCATGAATATTGAAAAGATGAACATTGCTAGAACCAAAACTTAGTTCACTCTTTCCTAGCAGAAGAGATGACAAACACCTTCATGAGGCAATATCCCCTGGGGTGCACTCCCACGAACTTAGTAGCAAGGTGATTACACAAGACCACTGTTGTTATCAGTGAGATAGGATTTTGTCCTTAATAGAATATGTACTTACTGTCAATAAAAAACAAACTAACAAACCTCAAAAACAAAAATGTGCCTTTTATGTTTCTGTCCAAGCTTTCACCTGTGGGTGAAATACAGAAAATATCTTATCCACTGCCATGCTGTTTCACATAGCACTGCTTTTCACAAAGGACCAATCAACAGAGCTTCAAATCCACATAACCATCAAGAGAAATGACTAACATATTGACTTTACCTTGTTACTAATCATCTTGAAGATACTTGCTCCTTACAGCTATCAAATTAAGCTGGTCAAATGGCTCACTGTGTAAAGACCTTTATTACAAATGCCAAATGAACTCAGTTTCAACTAGCTGCAATGGTGTGCATACCAGAGAGATGGAGACAGGAATATGCCCCAGAATTCATAGGCCAGCCAGTCTGTAAATCAATGAATGTTAGCTGGAAACAGCAAAAGAGACTTTACCTCCAAATCAAAGTAGAATAAGATGACTCTCAAAAGTTGCCTTTTGATTTCACATGTGTGACTTGGAGCATACACACCTGCGCATGCACGCAACACACACACACACACACACACACACACACACACACACACACACACACACACACACACACACACAGAGGCAGGCAGGCAGACAGACAGACAGAGAGGCAGAGACTACTACTTCTATTACTACTAACCACAAGAAGCCTTTCAAAAACCCATTTTCAGTGGCACTGCTTTGTAGGGATTTGGAGAGGATACAAAGTGTTTGTAAACTCAGAATTTATAACAAAGGGCACTATTCTCCAGCGGGATGTAAAGTAGTAATTGCTTTTTCCTGTAGTAAGGCCTCTAAAATCTCTGTGGATGTAAATACAAAAGCAAGAGTTTCAGTGCTGTTTGGAGTGACCAATCTTGAATGCTAAGAGGAAACTGGACATCTCTCCCAGCACAGAAAAAGAGGAAATCATCTCTAGACCAGAGGAGCACACTTGAGGAATCCTCCCACATTACCATATGTGTGATTAAGGTAAATGGAGGAGCATGGAAGTCCCATTAAGACAGGACATGTTAACAACCCAGATCCAGGAAAGAAGATTTTGAGGAAAATGCAACATAGACAACTGATGGCAAAGCAAAAGCAAAACACGTATTGGAGTAATGTTTGTATGGACACTAAGTTAGGCCACACAACCATGTACTATCACATCATGGATAATTTGAGTAATGTGGCAATAGTACTAGGAACGACATTTCCTCTTTTGTGAAGACTAGAGAACTACATCTGTAAGTACACATGTGCAGATATTGTATTCTTCTATCTTTCTTCCTTGTTGTCTTACTTGATGACTTCTCTGCTGTGCTGTGGATATCACTCTATATAAATAAAACACTGATGGCCAGTGACCAGGCAGGAAGTATAGGTGGGACAAAGAGAGAGAAGAATTGGGGAAACAGGAAGAAGGGGGGAGAGACATTGCAGCCACCGCCAGGACAAGCAGCATGTAAAGACGCCGGTAAGCCACCAGCCATGTGGCAAGGTATAGATTTATAAAAATGGGTTAATTTAAGATATAAGAACAGCTGGCAAGAAGCCTGCCACAGCCATACAGTTTATAAGTGATATAAGTGTCTGAGTGATTATTTTATATGTGGATTGTGGGACTGCGGGGCTTGGGGAACCTGGAGAGAAGCTCTCCAGCAA